AATTGCCACAACTGTAAGTAACATTAAAATATCTCTTAATTCTCTTAGCAATTAAACCATAGATACTGCTAATACTACTGTAGTTTGCTTTCTACATTTAATGATAGAAATGCTAAATTTCAGTCAGAAGTTAATGTAACTAATGATTTTTTTTTCTTCTAATTTCTGAATTCATTTCCTGAATTCTTTATTCAGGCCCCAATTAACAAATCCTGCTGTGTAATTGTCACTTTATAAAGCATTTTAAAAATCTTTGAGTAAAAATAAATTTCTCAGCTTAGCAAAGATAGTCCTTCATGATCTACTCTTTCTATCTTTTTAGCCTAATCTTCACTTATCTACACTAACACATGGACAGTTGTCCCACTTCTGTTTGCTCTTTCATGCCTCCTCAGCCTTATACACTCCCCGTCTTTGAAATAACCTCAAACATATTCAATTTTTTAAAGCTACTTTCTTTCTCTTCTAACCTAGATTTGGAGACACTTTTCCTTGCCCTTCCTTATTCCTCGGTCTAACTTTGATTCCTGTATTGTATTAGAGTTGGCTGTTTACTTGTAAGTCTGCTTTATAATATGGCTCTTTAGGTATATTGTTTTATTCATCTTTGAAGATGTAGGTGCTTAAAGAATGTAGGCACTGAAAGAATGAGAAAGTGTGTCTCTTGCTAATCCTAACATGGTCCAATAAATCTATTCTCTTCCCTGTCTGCCCTCTTGCAAATCTCATTGCACTTATTGTCAGAACCACTTTCAAACTAAGTATTCTCTAATTTCTTTGAAGGTAATTTTGTCTTCCTTTTACTCACCCCAACCCACCACCCCCACCCCAACTACCTACCTATTTACCATCTACCCACTTCTTCTCTGACAAACAGGGTAAGGATTCTGTTTTACAGTATAGTAATTTTAACATTGGCTGCACATTAAGTAAACCCCTGAGCATCCTGTAAGTGATATCTGTATCTTGGCTTCACCATGTGAAGATGAAATAGTGGTACTTTTAAAAACCCTCATAGGTGATTGTAATGTGCATCTGGAATTGTGAAATGATAGA